TATATATATATATATAAATTCAAGATATCTGTATCTCATAGTTTACAAAAAATTTAGAGATATGTTAAAAAATCGTTATAAACATTATATGTGCTATACACAGAAACAAACAGTGCTGACTGAAATGCGCAGAATTTTTTATGTACACATATATGTGTTTTTTAAAGTTAATTATGATTACGCAAGAGGAAGTTGTACGCTTTATGCGAAGTGATTAATATATAAAAACAACTATTTTTCTTGATTCTCATAACTGGTTATTTACAATGTATGTGTGATACAGTTTTGCAACTATTATGCTAACTTATCACGTTTAATTGCCAATTCAAATATTATAATATATATGATATTCCTGATATTCCAGCAAGAATTGCATTAACAGAAATCAAAATAGCATATAGAAAGTTAAACGAAGAATATTACTGTGATCCAATATTTTTATTCAATTTGCCATATTATTGAAATTTTTGTGTATGTTCTATCTATTTTTTTAAAATACTTTTCGAGAATAATTATATAATAGGGTATATTAAATCAAGTATTATATATATATCGAAATATAATATCACAAATGCACAGTATATATTAGATTTAAACATTATACAATATTTTAATTGTCTGAATGCCAGCAATCAATATATTGTTCGTTCATTTACTATCTAATAATTATCAGAGAATGCTAACTTGTATTTTATTCCTAAAAAAACTATCTATAAATTAAGTTTTTTTTTTTATTCCATTTTTATATAGAATTTAATATTATTAATTATTATTATACAATATATATTGCTGAGAAAGATAAATGCAACTTATTAACGACTACTCTCTCGATAGTTGAGCTACGGATCATGCTCAATTATATTATGATTTCGTTTCGCTTTTAATATATGATATGTTAACGTTGCATTCAACGTTTCCTCTGCTAATAATAAAGAGCGGCTTTTACCGCTGAATATTTTCAACTGCGAAATGCAAAGAAGTTGCGCAAGTGATCCAGCAGGATGGCTCTTACGTTGAGTTCATAATGATGTTCAATTTAAATGCAGAAATCTTACAGACAAGAGATGTGAGAAAAGACTCGATAATTAAGAATTAACAGAATAACGAATATAAAGTGTAGTTTACACAATGTTTCTTATATGTACTAGCATATTAATGAATTAATAACTAATTAAAAAAACATAATTTTTTTAAAAATTGTTTTTATATTATTTTAAAACTTTAGTATTCTCATCTCTTTTTATCATATTAATTAGATAATATTCAAAATAAATAATATTATATTTTAACTCACAAATTAATACAAAAACGTTTGCTATCATTTATCCCGTGTTATTATAATTTAACGCCAAGGCGCTATCACGTTTGTTGTCATACTGCTAACGCGACTGGAAAGACAAGATCAATGTGCATGTACGAGAGATGGATGGAAAAATGAGACAATTCTCGTATCTATCACGCTAAATCTCGAGATGTCGGCTACACCAATTTTAGTTAGAGAGATAAGTCGCAATCTTTAATATTACATAAGAGAAGCGCGTCGTTATTTTTATTATTACGATACATATTATTAGTTTTTGAGATACGGTAATCGAAAGCATGTTTGATATAGGAATTCCCAATCAAGAGTGCGGTAATGTTTGACATTTATGCAGTGCACGTAATATTCGCATCGTTCAGTCATTGAATTTATATGTTTAGATATGAATTTAGCGTGGAGATGTTACCGTATCTCTTGATATTTTTGTATATATGCAGTTTGGCGTAATATACGACGTAATATAGCATAATATATGTAGCTCGCGACAATCACTATTTCAATCTATTGGCGACTTGTGTGACGTATGCACCTCTTCTAAATCAAATAGCAAGGACGAAGGAAGGAATGGTGCCGAGTAATTTTTTTTACGCGGCAGGCATTCAACTCACTGCAGCAGCAACTGCTACGTCACACATGTATAATGATTGTGTGCGTGAGCACACTGCAATGAACCATACTGGTGTACCGAACTTTCCACAGTATATTGTGACATCGTGGCAGGTGACGGCATTGTAACGGATGCGACACCTTCACGAAAGTACGTTATTTTTCGAGACAAAATGCATCCTCGCGCTTATTATTATGATGAATGAGCTTACGTAATGCGCGGCGTTAATTTTAAACACGTGATTTTTCTCTCATGCGTGACCGCGTGACTTTATTTGCTTGATTTGCTAGATATACGCGCGACGATTACTTTCAGAACAAAATATCTGCCAAGATCACATAAAAAAGGAACATTATTAAAATTAATTATAACGCTAATCTCTTTTAATCTTTAATCGGGAATAATTAAGAGAAAAAACTGTGCAAAAATGCGTTAATTTAATATATTATTTAAATGTTAAATAAATTATAACTCTCTAAAATAGAGTTAAAAAATTTGATTTTTTGGAAAATAAGATATGTCTCTCTGTTTCTCTCGCTGTCTCTGTCTGACTCTTTCTCTCTTTCTCTGTCTTTCTTATTAAGAAGTAAAGATGTTCGATATAGAGAAGAGTGAAAAAACCAACAAATGCACGTACATTTCAGAAACGTAAAAATAGCTTTCTAAAATTAAATATTTAATACAAGAACATCTTTTTGATTATCAAGTGCACAAAAAAGCGATACATTTCTAAACTTATAAATAAAAATATCAGAAAATAAGGAGCAATATAATTAAGAAAATTTCTTTATGCGCTTGGGAGTTATATTTTTAAGAAATTGTGTGCATCGCGCGAAAACATTGTGGTATGGCACTAGAAAATTAGCGAAAAAAAAAAGAAAGAAAATGTGTGTATATATGCGTATATGTGAGAAAGTTGGTGTTCAAGATTGCCACAGATCTCACCGTTGATAGACGCAGATCGGCGCACACGTGACTCGCACGAAACGTGGACTTGAGTCGTGTTACGGATCGCGGCTTTTCAGGTGTCGCTAGTCACCGCATTTTGCTACTTTCGCTAATTTTAATGAGAACGGCGAAATTACACGAGCCGATACTAGTTTTTCTATATATCACAACGCGGCTATATCAATGCAGTCGTTACATCAGATTATTAATTAGGAAGAGTATCTGTCACAAACAAAGGTTTATATATATATGTATATATACCTTTTTAAAATTAAATTACCATTTTTATAATTATTATTAATTATATAATATTTCTCTTTTCATTTAAATATTCTTTGTCCTTATATAATTATATATTTTTGTAAAATTAATTTATATAAAGAAATCAGAGATACATCTAATATTTTATATAGTATTTATAAAAATGGATGTATTGTTTACATTTATTTGCATGTAGATATAGCACGTATTTAACAATATTGTTTTATAAAATAGCATAAAAAACAATATTTTCTCTGTTAAACACTCTTGAAAAAATTTTTGCTTCTACAAAGATTTCACAAACAAAATTTTTAGAGATAATATAATTGGGATACCAATATATTTTTAAAAATATGTTATTTTTTAAGAATTTTTATATACGTTTATACAAAATATACGATTGATACCAGAAATTGATAAGAGCTTTACGTGAAGTTATTTTTATACGCCGAATTCCAAGGGTATATTCCATTTATGTCAAGCGATACATCACATGTACCTTCATGACAAGAATCTTAAATAAATGCTTTGCGCTATATGCGATGTGAAACGTAAATCTGATATATCCATCATTGAAGCACAATGAACGATTACAATGTATAATGCTATCTGATTACAAGATCATTTTTACCTTGCTTATAAGATCATGGCCAATGTCCTAAACAGAAAAACATGTATATTACGATGCTATCTCTTTGACATTCACAACCTATTTCATTTTTAATTACACAAAATTACTCAACCATGTTGCGCGATGTTTTGTTCCTAATATTATCTCACTGTATGGATATTCTTGCAATATCTAAAAAAATATATTTTATTAATACAAATATATTGCACATTATTTTATCACATTTCTAATGGAACGATCGATAAAAATTTACTATTAAGTCACGCAAGACTTATGTAGTAAATATTATATTTTTATCAATTTTCGTAATTTTTCAATTATAACGTTTCAAGATTTATATTAGCAGAAATACACGCATCGCGGATGAATATGTACGTACTATATAAAATAAATAAATTAATTATTTTTATTGTTAATTTTTTTGAGAATTAATTACAATCGAAAATCTTAGAGAGAGTACAAAAATTTACAATTTCAGAGTTATAAACAGTCAAAATTACACGTTAAAGAATAAAATATGCGGATTCAGCATAATACTCAGCAATAATTATATGCATACACGCATTTCCCACGTTTTTTTATTAATTTTCATAATTTAGCTGAGATTGAGTTTTATTATTCAACCGGGTATTGTTTTTTTAGCTACGTGTAATTTACGTGTGTAATCATTATAAATTAAAATAATTAAAAAAATTTTTAATTTATATACTCAAACCTATTATTTTCGAATATTATTTATAAGCTTAGAACTCTTTGAGACTTGATTCTAGTCACGCCAATTTTAGACAAGAAATATAAAATAATATACGCAATAATGAAATATTTGTGTGAGAGAAAAAATAAAGAATTTGCTGCATATTGCGTCCAATTAGTTAATATAAAAAAAGAATCATCCTTCAAAAATAAAATTATGTTTATACGGAGTTATTAATTCTTAGCATATTCGTTAAACTATCAAAATAGTCAGAATTTCCATAATGACAGCTACTCATGATATCATCTACGTATTATATATAACAAGAAAAAAGGGATCGTGAAAAAAGAGCAACAGTGACAATTTAATCGATTTTACATTGTCGTGTGATTAATTTGTCCAACTTTTTTATTCGGGAGCACACTCTGAGTTGCAACTCCAACAAGGGGAATTGCGAAACGTTAACACCTGATCGGAACATGCTTCGAAATGCGTATTGCATTTACCTTGCCCGGTTTCCTTCGCTTTTCAGCTTACCCGAGATGAAAGGGTATCAGCGGTATTTGGGCAAGCACGCGCGGTGCGGTTCATGAATTTACTTGAGCGAAAATCTTGGACGAGAGGAAAAACGGAGGGAGAACGAGCATGGCCTGAGTGAAAAGAACGATACCGGCGGTATTGCGATTTCCTACGAAACGAGAATCGAGAAACGTTTGTCCAATCGTCACCGATGTGTATGGAAGAGTGGACCAATGGTCGACAAGTGGCACGAGGCAATCGACTGAATGTAAAAGCGCAACTAACCGAGTCCCGTGATTGGGGGTCTTACTCGCTGGTAGAATAGCGAGTATCACATCATCCCCTGACCACTGTCAAGTGAGCTCCTGTCAGAGTCGCCAGCCTCGGATCATCCTCGATCAAACTAGCCGCCATGCACGCTTCCGTCGTTCGTACTTGGTAAATTAATTATGACTTATTCGCTTCGTTAAACACCGTCATTATCTCTATCGCAGTTTTATAATTAATTCGATTCACAGTTTCAATCGTAAAAATCACAAAACAGTTGATGAAATGTCACGATAACTAATACAAGTCAAAATCGCGAAATAGAAAATAGTGCTCAAGAAATTTGTAAAAAATATTATGTTTTACAAAAATTATGCTTTATAAATTAATATTACTATGTGCGTTATATTCGATATGACAGTCGAAACATTAAGAAAGTTTAAATTATGCAAGCGTATGCTATTTTTATATTTAAATAAACATTATCCTAATTAAAAAGCTGACTGTTTCGTGATTCTTAATGTTGATATGTTACGGGCGCAAAGTGTGCAGAGCCGATATTGTTCGGACGATGTCATTACATAACGCTCCCGGTGTCCAAAACATCAAGCAATATGAACTAAACCTCGCTTCGCGCAGAAAGTTGGCAAACCCATGTAAAATCGCCCGGGCAATGTCGACTTTGCACACCTTGCGTATTTCGTCCGTAACATATATATGAATAATGTGCGAAGATATTAGGTTGAGATTCTAAGAACTTTTATAAATACGCCTAGATAATCACAGTTTCAAGTAACCGCATAATTTTAAATATAACTCCTAGCTCCTAGTATTCATATATCAGATTTAAAAGATAAAGGATTTTATTTAAACTGATTGGAGGACTATTTGTTCTTGTTTTGCAATTTCAATTTTTATAATCAAATAATTTTTGACCGCCAAACAGATTAGATCTTTCTATTTAGAATAACAAAATGTGTATTTAAAAAAAAATATTTTTTAAATTTTTGAAGAATTCTAATAGTATGTTTCTGCTAATATATATAGATTATGGAAATTAATTCTACATACATTTTATTATTTCTACATTTTATTTCTCAATATGTGATCATAATATTTCGGAAAATAAATTAACAATAAAAATAATAAAACATTTCAAATAACAAAATATTTCAAATGAATATCTTGTACTATCTGTATGATACTACGTTTTGCGTTAGAACTTCATCTTTTTATTTTGATCATTTCAAGAGAATGACCTTTTGATAAAAAATAATAATGTAAAATATTAAATGCTTGCATGTAAAAAAATTACGGAATTATATAAATATTAAATATAGACTTACACACTAAATAATATATATATATATATATATATGGAAATATATAATAATTTCATTATTTATAGTACAATAATATGCTTATTGTTTATTAATTTTACATACTTTTTTAAAGTGTATTTAATGTAAAAATGATCAAACTATCGCTATCGTTATCGATTATCACACAATATTAAATTCTTGATAATGAAATTCTTTTCTTTCATATGAAATTCATTTCTTGATAAAATAAAAAAAAACAGCAGTCTACACCTATGTTAATAGGTATACGGATTTGCTATTAAAGCAAATTTAATTTATTACGGAAACGGAATCAAGATAGATGGGCTGTTTTGCGTTGTAAAGCGAAAATGGTGTGCTTATATAGTCGACAAAATTAACAACGCAGCATAAAATATAGCGTGGCAGCAAACTCTTTCTCTTTATTTGGGTGTCCTTCATCTTGACGTGCGTGCCAAATAAATTCGCTAATTTAATCGCAATATAATAATTCTCTTTCATCGTTGAGTTATCAAGCATAACACGTACAATATTAATTTAATTTTAGTATGCGTAACATTGCGATAATTGTCATAAATTATTTATAATTAATTGAATAAGAAAACAGAAACAGTAATTCTTTTGCAACTTTTCATTAATTGGATATTACAAAACTTTTAAGTACTACACTTCAAATCGATTGTGTTTGTTGTACAAATTAAATGCGACGTATTATTTACTTCGTTTTTGTAATCATATTTTCGCTAAGCGTATAATAAATTTGTATTTTCCTATATATTTACAATAATTGATACGTGTCAAACATGAGACAGAATTTTACTTGAATTCGCTTTCACCCATCATGCAAACTTTATACTTAGATATTAAAAACTACGATGAAGTCTTGCGTCAAATATATGTATGTATAGCAAAAGCAGAAAGGACAGAAACTTTTTAAACTCGTGAAAAAAATTTTTTTTTTTAAATTCCCAACTAATTAAAAAAATATCTGATATTTTTTAATAAAATTAAAAGTTTTTTAAAGTTTATATACATACAGACATAAATAAATAACTATTTATTTGCAATTTTTTGATCTAATCTGTCAGTCAGATAATAATCGTTATATCTATATCTTTTTTATATATTTTTGTATACTATGATTATTCTTTTCCATCTTTTGGCGGCAATATTAGCATCTTCCAATCTTGTATTTTTTCTTCTTTTCTTCTCTTTTTCTTTTAAACTCTTTCCTATTTGTCTTTTTTATCTCTTTTTTTCCTCCATCTGTTAAAAATCGATATAATTAAATAGAGAGAAAAATAAATAAATTGAGAAACTCACACTGTTAAGAAATAGTAGATAAAGTTAAATATACTTGCAAAACAGTTATATAAGTTTCTTAATATAGATTTAATTTATAAAAAACTGATTATATATATATTGTTCTTCCTGAAATTGTTACACGCTTCTTTCATTAAAATGAAGAGGAAGCTGCAAATATTTACATATCCCCTGGCCTTCAAAATATTAAAATATGTTTCTTTATACGAATCTTCTATCGTCACATATTATCTTTTCTCGGTATAAATATACTTTAACTAAGTGTGCATGTATTAAAGAACCAATAAAAACGAAAAGAATAATAATGACAAAAGAATAATAATGATAATAAGAAAAGAATAATAATGACAATAAAAAAGAAAAGAATAATAATGACAACAAATAATAATGACAAATTCTCTGTTTGAAAAAATAGTGGATAGTCTTTAAAAATTGACTTATTAATATTAATAATTCAAATTTTATATATTGTGTCGATCTGTTCTTTCAGTTTGGCTTATACGTTATTTACTATGGCCTTCGCTGCAATACGTGAGTAAACACATTCTATAAATTCCAAAATATTTTTTAATTATTTATAGATTGTAAATAATATATAATTATTATTGCATTATATCTTGAATTAAAAACTAGATTATATAATTATGATTACAAAGTCATTATAATTACAAAGTCACTGAAATACACATATTATATGATTAATATAACAGATAGCAGAGGCTATTATTGTAATAGTATATACGTATGATACACGTTAATATCCTTCATAAATTAAATATGCGATTAAGAATGAAATTATCTTTTTTTCACGATTGCACGTCTCCGATATCTTATATAAATTATTTAATAAAAAAGTAAATTTAGTAAAAAAGATTTGCAAATTAGTGTCTTGCATTTCCACAGCATCGTACATAAAGGTATGCAGCCGAAACGACCCGGAAATAAATAAATGTGTAATTAATTCAATTGAGCAACTGCGAGACAAACTGACCACAGGAATTCCGGAAATAAGTGTTCCATCAATCGAACCGCTTATCTTAAAGCATGTGCGTTTATTGAGAGGCCCCACCGGTGCGAGACTTGATATTAATCTTACGAACATTCAGGTTGGTATAGAGGTCAAATGATAGCTTTAGCTATAGAATGATACATAGAATAATTAAACATTTGATAAAAAAAATTGTAAAAATGCGATATTGTCAGATATATAATTTTTTATTTGTTGGATAATATAAGAAAAATATTTTTTCATTAAAAATACTAATAATAGGTATTTGGACCTTCCACGTTTAATATCCGAGATCTTAAGGTTGACCCAAAAAAGGTGGCCCTTACCTTTAAAGTTGGCTTTGACAAGCTCGATTTTCGGGGAAAGTATCAGATAAACGCGCAAATTCTGTTGCTCAAATTGGTTGGAGAAGGAGGTCTTAATGGAAGTTTCCGTAAGTCTTGCATTTGTCTATAAATTTTTTGCGATTTTTCATTGAAATATTATAAAAATAAAATTATTAATGTCAAAGAAAAAGATATGTGATAAAAGAAATGTATAAAATTGTTTATCTTTGTTTAATCTCTGTCATATATTTTGCAGTGGGTTATAATAGTGACTGCATTTTGAAGTCTCACAAAGTCGTTAGAAATAATATGTCGTATATAGTCTTCGAAAAAATGAAATTTGACATCACTATAAATAAGGCCCGTATCAATCTTGACAATTTATTTAATGGCGATCCAATTCTTGGTATGTTTAAATTCTTATTTCATATGATATTATTTTATTTTAAGAAATTTATAGAGATTATGATGCAATTCAAGTATTTTATCATCACAATTGATTTCTTTTAACCAGGACCAGCGAGCAATGAAGTTTTAAACGCAAATAGCGATTTATTGGTGGACGAGATAAAGCCGGTATTAGAAGAAGCTTTATCAGACTTGTTTACCGACGTCGCCAACAAGATCACTGAAGCATTCACATACGATGAATTATTTCCGAATAATTAATCCTTTATTCATTTGTTGAATCTCTATTGTTACCCGAAACTTAATTTGATTTATATTTCTCTATTTAAATTGTTTCTTGATTTTTAAATTACAAGGGCTGCGACACTTTTGATAAACTTTAATTAATATTGCTGTTTTTATATGGTATATTTTATAATATATAAGAGTTAGTAAGTTATAATGCACAAGCACAAATTGTGTTTATTAGCATTTGATTGCCATGCAAATTATGTCGAAAAAATCCTTTCTTTGTACAAAAATTTATAATTTTTATCTTAAAAATTTGTACACTATTAATTTTTCAGTTTTATTTTATGTTTCAGTATAAGTGGTTTAATAATTGTATTTTATGCGATAATACATTAGTACTAAATTATTAATCCCAAGTGAGTTACCGATATATTAGCAATCAGTAATAGTTAAAATTAATATGACATAAGAATATCATATAACTTATACTTTATAAGTCTTAAAAGCATATCTCAGGTACCTTATTTTTGATTTACTAATCTAATAAATCTAAAAAAGATAGTTTAGCATAGTGAAATCTTTTTGGTTAAATTAGATCATTAAAAGTATTGTGTGAGTGCATAATACAATATACACTTACATAAAGTAAACAATATTTTATAGTATTTTAGAAAAAAAAATACATTTGGAAATGGGATTTCATATTTTACATATATAAATTATATAAAAATATACGAAAGAGAGAATTCCACTAAATTTATATTAAATGAGATATAATATCAAATGATGAAGCTCATGTTGCGAAATTTTTAAGCAAAAGAATACACATTGTCCTTTATTAAGTCTGTTACACGTGCCAAAGTTACGCAAGTAATTACAACTCAAACTTTGTTGAAATAAGGGAGACAAAAATGTAATGCAAATGAGAAGAAATGCTAGTTATAATAATATGATGTAAATTGTTATTGTAATGATTATTATGCTCGATCGTGTATTACATTTTATTGTTGAATTGAATGCATTTATGATTATCACATACAGATATATGATTTTTCAAAAACTAATTTTTGCTAATTTTTCCAGAGCCTTCAAACCTTTACATTTTTTGATACTTTACTATAATTACTATTATTCACTTTAAATGCGCGTAAACAATCATTTAATAATACAGATGGATCGTGATAATGGGACTTTGGACTCTAATATATTGATGATTTCAGTGAAAAATATCGTAACTGCAAAATTTTTCGAAAGACTTATTTATACAATAGCGTTTTTTTCTATAACCGTAATTTAATATTGTAAAGTTGGAAAATATATTTGAGTTAATACATATATGTGTTTGGTAGACATAAAATTTTATTCTTTCTTTGAATCAATACCCTTTATGTATATGCGATTTAATCTCGACTTTGAAGGAAAGATCGTCATGAAACAATTTTGTGCAAAAGTGCAGTTACAATACTTTTTATTAGAGGGAGTGCCATCTAATAATATAATATACGACATTTACTAATAAAATTAGATATAACAATAAAATATACAAGATGCAAATAACAAATTGTCAAATAAACAAAAAAGTGAGCGTCAGCTAATCAATTTGTATATAACGTATTTCTTTTAAATGAATTAACATTTCAATACTTTTCACAACATACAAAAGTGAAAACGAACGATGTCTCACGATTGCATAACATAATTAAATAAATGATTTTCTTTGGAAATGAGATAACAATTCTACACGTTTTACCAATTAGCCGGCGGAATATATCACGATTTAAGATAAAAAAGCGAATAAACCTACATTAAATCACTTACTTATCGCAATATTCGCATTTTTTATGACGAGCCGAGTGAGATTCGACTATGTAAAAATTAAGGAACGAGTTCTTGCTTAGTAAGAGCATTGAGTGCTCTAGCGGCTAGAGCTTTGCTCACAGTCGCGGCAGTATCCTCGATAATTGGACTGGCTATGTCCAACACTAGCCGGGGATTGGAATTAAAAAACGTTGCAGCGGCTTCGGCTGAAATTAATAAAAATAAAGATAGACAAATTTATTTAATTATATATGATTATATATGAGCCGCGAAAAATTCAAAACATTGTTCTTGAAAAAATACGCGTCCCCCCATCTCATCTTTCTTTTAATATTTATATTGCAACATTTTTTCTTGCGATCTTAGATTATCAATATTACGGGAATTAAGAGTTAAAAATTAGAATTAAACGAAATATTGTCACAAATATACTTAATATATAAATTTTTTATGTAGTTATTGAGCAAAATTTTAGAGACAATTTAATCTTTACCGGCTAATGTGTGAGCAGGAGGTGCCTTTAGTTTAATATTTCCATCACCGACGCGGATTTTAGTAACCAATTTGTCGATTTCAATTCTCTGCACGCCATTTTTATCGGTAATTTCCTTGCCTTGTGCATTTACTTGGGCTTCAGTGTCAGCTGGAATAAAAAGACAGCACGATGATGAAAAAATACGATATAAAAAATCTAGACTAACTATAAATGGCTAAATATTTAGATTTTTTGAATTCAGTATTGATTATATACATATAATACATCGTTTTTATCTGTCAAATTTCATTTAGAATTGTCATATACAAAATCAAATTTTAATGCATTGAGCTATTAATATATTGTAAATCTCTCCTATTTTCTCTCTCTTTATAAGCTTAATTTCATAGAAAACTTACTGAAATTCCCTTTAAAATTGCCTAATCCGCTTAAAGGCAGCAGCAACAATCTTCCTTGGACGTCATACTCGCCGTTCACATAAATGTGAGGCATTCGAACCTTGATAGATACGGTCAAGTCGTTGGGATTTGCTTTAAGATCGCGCACGACATAATTCGTAGCGCCATAAACGCGAATTTGAGTCATATTAGCTTTAAGTTTTAAGGAATCTAGATTCCTATCCACTGTCAAGGATGGTAGAAACAAAGGATCTAATGCTGGCAATTTCAAAGAGGGTACTCCCTTGACGAGAAGCGGCGTGAGAGCTTCCAGCTGCTTGAGAATGCACTTGTCGTACTCCGCCAAGTTGTCTGTTCGTGGGCATGACGTTACTCCAGGAGCTGAAAGCATCGATTGCATATTAATATTAATATTAATGTTAATAAGTTACTACAATGAACCGTTAAATCAATGAGTGAAACATAGATCCAGCTTAGTCTGTAAAATCTAAAAATAAACCTAAGATTCATGAAATAAAGATTTGATGAATATACATATAATAAGTATTCATACGTAATTATAAGATTTTCTGAATCAAGTAATAAGAAATTATTATCTGATAAATATCAGCGTATACATCATTTACAAATTTGAGATGTAAAGTTGAAAATAAATTCTCAGAAAAATGTAAGAAGCATTGTATTTTTTAATTATATATATCTTATTCAGAAATTATCCATAAATTGATATAAAAAAGCTGTATGTAATATGTAACAATTCAAATAATTTACAGAGCAAAATAAAGTTTACGGAATTAAAGACTCTTGTAAGTTGCTTGTATCGTAATTATTTTTAAGATGAATGATGTCATCGTATTGGGAAAGATAGACATCAGATATCTTTGAAGGCGATGAGTGATTGCAGGCATTGCACCCTGTTGCAACGTCGGTTGAGCGAACGCGATAATGATAAGAACTCGACGATGACTAAGAAAGCGACTTTTTTCCGGTCAATCAATCCGGCCAGGCCTAAAATCGAAAGTGGACGGTAGTAGAAAGTGAAATTACGAAGGCGATTGGCGAATGAGTTTTTTTTTTTTTTATCGGCACTTAGTAGACGGTGAATTCATGTGTGTCGCATTGAAACATCGAAAAAAAAACGTACGTAAATGATCGAGAAAGGATCAGCAAATGAAAAATAGATCGATCTAGTTCAAGCAATAAAAAATATATGGCAATATACTAGGCAAAATAAATAAAAAAAGAGAAAAATATAATTCTTCAAGAGATAATCTTCTTGTAAACCGTTAAAATAAATTTGATGAAATAAAAGATTGATGATACAATAAATAATAATGTTTAGTGATAACAATATTAAAGGCTGTTCTAATTTTAAACAACAAAAAACACCAAGAAAACTGCATCTCGAATAAGAAAACAAATTTTCAATAAATTTCCTAATTAATTATTTAATTTATGCATACATTGTAGGTATATATGTTAAAAGTAAATATGAAATCTCCATTCTAATAAATTATCATTCTTATTTCTATATTTTTTAATCAATTATCAATGTATTTAATAATTTTATTCCATCTTTTCCCAAAATAATATATTATAAGAATACTAAGCAAATTAATTTTTTGATTGTTTGTGCACGACAATGATGTGCGCTTTTTTCTAGCACTTATTACTATCATTAAATGCTCATTGCAAAAGATTTAATGATACATAAGTGCTAGAAAAAAAATATAAAATAATGTTTTCAGATTTCTCTTGTTAAAACAAGAAATTTGAAATTATATTATTTTACACCGCATGAGTTAGTGCGTTGACAGGAAAACCATTACTCACAAGTAAAAGTGCTAAATAAAATTTTAGATGACATTGTCACATATATGCAATATACAAAAGTAACGATCACTATCGTTCCACGTAAGGAGCATACTTATCCGGTAATGTCGCAATACTTCCGGGTTTTCTATTGATTTCTCAATGACAGTTGACATACTTTTATAAATTATATGTTAATCGGAAATTGCATGTAAGGTACATCGATACTTTGCATATAATTTCAATTGCGTTTCTCGATGGTCATATCATACCTGACTAGTGACTTTCTATCAATACAAATATCAGTAAACTATCTGTAGATTTGTTATACATTCTCTGTTATTGCGAAGAAATTACTATTAAGACTCTTATAAGAAAATTATTATAAAAAGATTAGAGACACTTGAAATCCGATGCTATACGATTGTATTAATTAAATATAATTGTGATCTTACTTATACATTCAGCATTTCTGAGTAAACATTAAATCTTGTAATGTGTTTTCTTATTGTTGCAATCTTATATTTCTATATAATATGCATGAATTGTAAAAAGTCAATCTATAAAAACTCTTGCTCTTGAATTATATGATCAATTTTTTAACAAAAGATAATTAAACACATGCTCTTACTTGTTATATATATTGCAATGGATGGTAACAATCAAGAAGAAGATAATTTTGCAATAATAAATCGAGAACATGCAACAAAATTTCTATATATGATAATTTTCAAAGAAAATCCAACTTAAAAGTTCGTCAGAGATGCATTTCACCAAATTTTGATTTTGTGCATATCTCTAGACAAATATAGATAATAGCAAAAATGATAGAAAACAAGCTATGATTTTACTAATGTAATTTATAAATACAAACACGAAAGAAACATTTATTCTCACACAAAATAAAATCGGAACTTGGCCAATTGATCAACGTATAATTCGACGAATTTTCGCGAAAACAATATATTAGTAAAAACAAAAAATTTTTCTTGTACTTTCGATTTTTTGTGTGTGTGTATAGAATAATTTTTTTTCAGTTATTTAATATTCAGGATGTTACGTTTGTTATGTGCAATACATGACTTGTTTTTAAATTATAATATATGTTTATTAATGTAAAGAGCATAAAAAGAGTAGGAGTAAAAAAGGAATGAATAAGATAGAATATATAATATGACTAATGTCATTATTGTATTAATTATACCGTGTAAATCTTATTAGTAATAATATACATATATAATATAATATTATCCATGTATAAGTTATGAAGCAAATTCAATCATTATTGATTTCTTATGATACATATTCAGAGATATTAATTATATTATTCTTGACAAATAAACTCACGCAGTTCTGACACGGCAATCCTGATCCATACGGCGAACAGTACGAGTCCGATCAGCATCATTCTTTCGATGATCCTGATATGTACGTATGTGAGGTGGCAAGACTCGCGATTGTACGACTCTACTCTCCACTAGAGATATGTATGATCGCAATTAGCGACAGCGATATCGAAAATGCGTACGATGGCCCCGTCGCATGAGTATATATAAAGTAAAGAGCACTTTCTCCGCGCGTGGTATCACCCCACTTGGACGACGGCGATGGTGAATTTATCATGGTAGAATGCCTCCTTTTAACTCAGTCAGGGCCGTAGCCAATCTCGACACACGTATACGTTAGTACGTACGACAAACGTACACGCACACACGCTCACATCCGTTGAAATTACGGGAAACTGTAAAGTACCTCAGAGTATTACAATCTCGCGGCGTCTTCATAAATGATGGACGCGGTCCTTTTTGCGATGTCCAAGGATGAGGACGAGACGTGGTCGCGCGGAAGATTACGCATCGCGGTTTCAAGACGAGATCGTTGACTTTCGAAATGCCATTGTTACTACACGAAGCATTATTACTCTCTGGACACACGTTGATGGAGTCTTGAAAGAAACCTCGCGATATTATTTCGCGAGTAATTCTAGGCTAACAACGAAGCCATTAGCGCTTATAGTCAAGAATAGCGATTCTCCTGGACACGCAGCTGTTTTCTATTACCGACGTAATGTGTTTTTCTCCTCTTGACTTGACTGAGGATTTTCGCCCGATACTTGAGCTTGTTGACATAAATTGACTCCGCTCTATATGTCTAATTTGTTAAATATTTTTAAAAATCAACATTTGGAATGACAGTTCTTGCACTCTCATATGTTGTCACCATCATTTTCATATTTAATTGTAAGATTATCAGATCAGTATAAGCGCATTATATTTCATCAAATCGATTTTCGAAACATTTCCATCGGTTATATTTTTTTATATTTGCACGAGACTTTATCTATTTTGATAAATTTTTGACATTTCCGTTTATGAAATATTAAATAATTAAATATATCTTAGTTTATATTTAGTTTGAGATAAAATTACGCATAAAATATAGGAAAATCTTGCTTATATCCGCCGATTCTTAGACACATAAAAGCGCAATAAATATCTGTTACGCGAATACGTAATATAGACGCATAATAAGATATGGTAATACGTATCTAGTGTTACATATGTAAGATTAGAATTACGACGTACGTAGAATAAAACGTGCAAAGTTACGTTGAAAATTACGATACTGAAGCTGAAAATGTCAACAAGGACTTTCAGGCCATAGGCCAGGGCTGCGATCCGCGAATATGTCCTTTTCTCTGAGAGAGAGAGAGGAGTTACTCGATTATGTTTAACATAAAATATATTTTGCTAAAGACTCTTTATACAAGCAACTGCTTATGACTTCCGATTGACTTATTTAATTGACTTCAATAATTAATTTTTTGCATGTAAATAAAAATATTTCCATTTATTTTTTGATTTATTTATGATTGACAACTCCTGTGCCTATAATATCGTTTCTCGCTAACCATTTATATTTTTTTTCTGTTCTTCAAATTTTTGTGATTAACCAAGATTTATAATGATAATCCTCTCGCCAGCATTTATGAAGAATTAAATTTTATCCCGTCATTATATTGCATACCTTACACAATCATTTTTCATATAATGCACAGGATTTTAAAAATAACACTTGTAGCAAAACTTATGGTAAAATAATCAATTATATGATACATAAATAAAAAAGGAATAATCATAAATAGAGTTAAAAATAATATAAGTAATTTAAATTACTAAAAAAATTGGGAGAGGGAACAGGGGGATTAATTGAAATTTTTTAATAAAACGCAAATTTGCAAAATTAATTTACGTTTCATGATTATCGTAAGCATAATCGATAATATGTATAAATGTGTGATTCTGTAATTATTTATAAACAAAGGATTTGCACAAGCACAATAGAAGCAACCTGTTCATGTAGAATTCCGTAATACAAGGCGACTTTCCCTAGTAGAATCGAAAAATGGTATGATTACTTGAATTTTCCAAATGTCTTTCATTATGTAAAAGATAATAAATCGTCTCTTCTTTACATAAATAATATCATATAAGACATTGAAGAAAACTTGAAGAAAAAAATATATATATATCTACTTTTAAAAATATACGATACAACTGACAACTAAATGTAATAAATATATGTATATATATAATAATTAAAACCCCATTATATATATTAAAAAATACATAAATATATGTGTAAGCAAACAAACATCCCAAAATAATAATAAATAAAAATACACGTCATGATAAATTCT